AGGAGGTTGATAACATCAACCCTGATCTTCATCCACACCCAACCAAGACTAGATATCATCACAAATGAGACAGTTCATGAATTTCTTATCACATCTGATCCTGAATAACCAAACAGCGCTGTTATGAGGCATAAAGGCATGGCTGTCCTGCTGCAGCAGCCCAGATGCCAAGTCCACTGGGAGATGCTTGGTTCCTGTTCAGCCTTATGAAAGCCTTGTTTGCTGCACTGCACTGCTCCCTGCATCGTTAAAACCAGATGGATGAATCTGTGCATTAATTCCTATCAGTGACTCCATATCATTTACCCAACGATTATTCAACACCATACTGACTCATTAGTACACTGTAACAAGCAGAAGGATGAAAATGAAGCCATTTGTCTTTTGGTAAATTACATAAGATGCATTGGCAAATTGCTGCACAATTGCTGTACAATTTATACCACATTTTCCAAAGCAGTCATTAGTCACACTATATAAACTTGTGTTACTGTCCACCAGCAATGTGGTGTGGTCATCTGGACATCTGCACTAACCTACAATAGCATAACGAAACAGCTCTGTGCATGAAAGCAGATGGAGGAAAACATGCCATGTCAAGATATGTCAACCTGTAGTATTATAGTAGTATTAAAATAATGATCTGAATTTTTGAATTTTTTAAAATTTTAGATTTTGAATGGTCTAAATTTATTTGTTTATTTAAAAATATGAATTTATTTATAAGTATAAATATAATTATTTTTATACAATTTATAAAAAATATCCTATAAAAATATGGTATGAATTTTGAATGGTCATATTGCATGATGCATTAAAATAGGATATAATTTTAATTAAAGGGGTCATATGATGTTGCTAAAAATAACATTATTTTGTGTATTTGGTGTAATGCAATGTTGTTTACGCGGTTTAAGTTTCAAAAAACACATTATTTTCCACATAATGTACATTATTGTTGCTCTTCTATGCCCCCTCCACAAAATGGCAGCGGCGGCAACGGCAATAATAAAAGTTACGCCTTCTTTTTTTGCGTGAACATTTGGGCGGCGTTATGCAAATCTTCCCACACAGTGACGTAGACATGTGGGGGGCGTGTTAGAACGAGCCGTTTTAGGTAGGTGTGGCTGACTCTTAACTTTTATAAAGAATACCTCTTTGGATTTGAGACTTTAGTCTTTGCAACTTTACAGATCTTCTTTATGCACCAAGAGCTCGTAACACTCCAAAGAGAAAGGAAAAATTGAAATCGCATCATATGACCCCTTTAATAAATTATTACTGATATTTACACTTTTCAACTAAATCGGGCATAATAGGATACTGCATAATTCATTAAATGTGGCAACTGTCATTTTTTTATTTTTATGTTTACTGATATTTACACTTAAATTATGTATTTTACATTTACACTTACATTTATACTCAAGTGAGAAACAATGCATTTGAAGCTTAACAGTACACAACAAAAATATATATGCATAATATATTGCATGTTCTAATTTGTGGTTAAGTGGTTTTTATTTTTGTAGTCCAATGATTATTTAGTTCTTATGCTCTCAAAAATTAAACAGTAATGAAAAAATAGTCAGTTGTAAAAACAATACTAATCAATCTGAAAAGTACTTTAATGACCCAAAAAAAGTCTTATTTAAATGTTTCATTACTTTGACTGCACAGGTTAAGAGGGACAGAAAGAAAGAAGTGAGATCCAACACATCCAATAAAATCAATCTCACACTACCTAGACAAATCTAGTCAGCATGACTGGATTCATTGTGATGCATGAGTGCACTTGTGTGTAACAAGTTAAATTCTTCTGCGCACACACACACACACACACACACACACACACACAAATACACAAACTGCACATTTCTGCAAGGTCAAAATATTCCAGACCACCAGGCGCCGCCCAGCCCCGTCAACTCAATGGCAGGACTGCAGAGTAAACTGTCACTCACACGAAGACGTGATTCCCGCACATCGATTCACCTGGAACAGGCTGCTGTCAGTCTGTCTGCTTTGCTTAACATCAACCTACAGCATCTTTCCAGCACGAACCTTCACCAAACCCTGTACAGAAACTAAACATGACATGACAAGCTGAATATTGACCTCTCCACAGCTATTCTCCTTGTTGGATAAAAAGCACCATCAACATCGGCTGATTTCATTTTGTTGCAATCATCACGTTCAACACCAGTAACATGTTATCTTCATCACATATGGGGGTATAAGTCTACTTATAGCACAGCATCTCGCTATCCAACCAGTTAGGCTCAGAATTGAACAGCATTTATAAAGCAAACAACAAAAGATCACTGAATATGCATTAACATCCTACTCAGAGCTAAAGCAGATTCTCACACCACTGCAGCAAAACATTTCTACATGTCAGTGATAATGCAGTTAGATAATGCATAATCTGTAGCTGGGGGAAATGTGGAACTGCTGATGTAAAGACTACACTTTCATCCTTCTTCTCAAACAGATGAAGACACTGTGAAAAGAACAGCTGAGCATTTTCTGTGCCAAAGCAGGCAACAGCTGCTATATTGAGCAGACGGGCCAGTGAAACTTTCTTAAGACTACTGTCGCTACTTTATTTTAGCAGATTCCAACTTTATATAGGTGTTCCAACTAACTTGGAAGTTTTTAGAATTGCGTGGAAAAACAGTATGTCCAGCTATAGACAGGCTCTAAAAGCTGCCAGGGTCGAGCATATCCACAAACTCAGGGAAAATAACCAAAACAATCCAAGATTTTTATTTAGCACAGTGGCTAGATTAACAAATAACCAGACGCCACCCGATCTAAATATTCCCTCACAGTTTAATAGTAATGACTTTATGAATTTCTTCACTGATAAAATAGATAACATCAGAAATACAATAACAAATGTAGATTCTACAGCGTATAATACTTCAGCTTCATTCATCGCACCAAAAGATAAACTGCAGCGCTTTACAACTATAGGACAGTTGTACTGCAGTTATATCTGATCAAATGCACATCATTATTCTTTAGTTTGGGTTAAACAAATACATTTTGCTTGGTTGGAACAGCACCTACACTAATTATGTCTCTATTTGTTTCTCTGTTTCTAGGATTTACACAAGCTTCAGTCTGGATCCAGAACACCTGAGAAGAGATGATGCTAACCTCTCATAGGACCTCAGATGATGCCAACCCTGAAACAACATACAGAACTACCACATTTTGCTATAAGTTTGATTGCATCATATAATAATTGCTGTTAATAGTATTCATCGTCTGTTTGATTACGTCTTTAATTGATTTTTCCGTACATTTCTGCCATATGTACATTGACTGACAGTCACCACTGATAAGCTACCACTAAATATTGTAGAAACTTAATTTGCTGTAAAGTTGCTTTGCAATGATTTGTATCGTGAAAAGTTGTACAAATAAACTTGAATTGAATTGTTTTGGTAGCAAAAGAGGACACAAAACAAGCGTAATGGAAAAGGGGTTATTCTCTTCATGTGGTTTAACATTAAACTAGTAGCTCCTTAGGAACTGAATGGACTTATTGTATCATTACTGTGGCAAACCCATTCATTGCCACACTTGCCTGATGATTGTGTAGTCTGTCTTTCAGTATCTGGACTACAAATCAATATGATTGACCACTGAAAGATGATATATATACATTAAATATAATTTTAATCGCTGCATGTATTAACACAACATGGCAACCTGTTCATTATAATTATACTGCCTTTGTCACTAACAAACAAACCTGTCATTTTTAAAACCACCCCAATTAGTCTTGCGCTGAATTTACACCAAATTAAATATTTAACATGTCTTTTACTTGCTTTGGCAAACTGCAAAAATAGTAAAACAACTAATGTATGGAACACTAAAAGGGCTTAAATTTTGCCCACTTCTGTAGTGAAATTCACAATATCCATGAGCAATGGTGCATGATGGAGGTAATTGCCTGAAAAAAACTGTAAAAGCCATTTGAGACAGACTTTTGATGGAATAAATGTTGTAGAGAACAAGGGCAATTTGGATGTACAGTAAGACTGCACCTTATTTCTCAAAAGCATCTGTAGTAAACTGTACTAAATACTAGAAAGCGGTTGATAATTTTGACTTCTATATATCCGTATAGATAGATTACAGTGTACACACACATGTATACATACTAATATATATATATGTTCTCCTTTATATATCATAAAGGATATATATGTTCTCCTTTATATATCATAAAGGATATATATCATATATTTATATATTCTTTAGAATGTTCTCCTTATTATCATTTAAATAAAATGCATAATGTGTGTTTGCTGTTGTCAAGTGATTATTTGGTTTTTACTGTGCCAAAAATCAGAAATAGATCATAATTAAAAACAAGAATCGGTTATGGGGCACTTAAAGCTAAAATAATCAGTATCAAATAATAATTTGAAAAAAATGTCTCTACTACAGACATGCAGTGTCATTAACAATATGCATCACACAAGTCAGATAAAGCACCTAATTTTGATGATTCATCAGCAGGCCTTACATGAACTTTACAAAGATGTACTTCTAGAGACAAAAGATATCTATGTAGGAGTGGTCACAGCCTAAGAACACTAACAGCTATAGAAAAAAGTGCATATAATATGTGATGGCATGACATTCATTCAGCATGCAGAGTGAAACAATGGAACATGAAGACAATCACAGATACTGTCAAATTCGTTGACCTAAAGCACAGCCCCATGACATACAGGGGAATCTACATCCTGCAGATATTTTAAGACTTCCTCACATCCTCGGAGATGGTGGACATTTGGAACACTGTAAAATCCCGTGGGTAACGTTTACAAAGAACAGGGGTTGATTTCAGCCGTCAAGCCAAGGAGATGTCTGTCCTGTACAAATGTCAATGAATTATTCAACATATGTGTCGACGCATTCACCGCAATGACAAAACGAGTCTAGAGGCGACGGTAAGAAACTAGTGCACTCACGTGAAATCTGGGCCGGATTTACAGAAGAGTCAGCATGAATAACGGGAGAAAGCGTTTTTCATTGTCAATGTCCGATAAATAATCCAGTTTTTACGTTTTTTTCATGAAAAACTGCAGTCCTTTTCTCCGAATGGGAGAGTCGGTAAGGAGGGGACAGTGAACTGAGCTTGTGGGCGTGTGCGAATGCAAAAGATGTTCGTTCATTGGTCAGCACCGGAATAGGAGGAGCTACGATAGCCAATAGGAGTTAGTATTTTGGAATATGTAATTATTTAAAACGTATATCTGAAAAGGAGTGATTCACTGGTTGTGGGGCTTTTGGTTCATCCCAGTGACTTGAATCTTTTGAATCTGATTTGTTTACTTTCTGAAGGATACAACGGTAAATGCCTGTATGTGTAAACAACAATTGTTTTATGTGTTATCAATCACCCAACCAATTCGTAAAAAAATGCTTCTATAAATGCATCGATTTATTTTCCCAGCCCTAATATATATATTGGATGAACTATATATATATATAGTTCTCTAATTGCTGGGCTTCACTTTTATCAAGCTTTAAAAAGACAAGACATAGAAAAGTAAGTCATGCGCTTTAAATGGAGCGACTTGACTCATTCAAAAAAATGACTCGTTTCGTTCACTGGAAAGAGTCATTAAAAAACAGCGATTCGTCCACGAACGAAAGGCCACTGTGATGCACTGTAACAGCTATTGAGGAAAAGAGATTCCTGAATAGCTGCATCTTATGACTGGTTGAATTTCAGTCTTTATCTACAAATGTTTTGGTGAAAAAAGAAAAGAAAACAAAAAAACTGCAAGAGAATTGCAATCATATTACAAAACTAATTAATTCCAAAGGGAGGAGACATCGTAGTAGGACACACCCTAGAAAGATGTCTCAAGATGGCAAAATTTTTCTTAAACCCAATTCTGGCAACAATGTGTGTGTGTGTATATATATATATATATATATATATATATATATGGCCGTAGATGATATAAGTGAAAGTAAGGCTGTGTGGGTGGGGTTATGAGGCTGCAATCCAAGGGCTGGGCTTTGTTGTAAGACTGAAGTCTTGGGCTTTCATTATGAAGGTGGTGGTTGCTATGGAGACTGCATCCAGCCTAAGGCAGCCAGATGGCATGAGGCAGACCATCTCCCGAGCCACGTCAGCAGACGGTACATTAAGACATAGACTGAACATTATTACATATTTGCTTATCATGTGCATTATATGGTGTGCTCTACCAAAAACAAATAAAAAAATAATAATGTCAGCTGATTTTTTACATTATACTTTATATTAAATATTGTGTAAAATACATGTTTTATAATAATAATAACTTCAAAAAATGACATATTTAACATCTATTCACATCGACAAACTGCAACTGAGTGATGAAAATGAGAATATTATTTATTTTCTATTTTCTATTATAATTCCAACCAATATAATAAATACTGGTAATGCTAATTTTGTTTTATATAATAATAATAATAATATAATAATAATAACTAAACAAATGAAATAATGTCATATTTAACATATTTATATTTGTATTTATATTATACTATTACATTTTGGATAATCAAACTTCAGTTTTTTATAATAATAATAATTTAATAATTTTGTGTTTTTGTATTGAAATAAAGACCTATCATTCCAACATTTCTGTTATTAAATTTACAAATTGTTTATTCATATGTATTTAAAGAAATGAAAAAGAAATCTCTAAACAATTCAAGCATCTGAAATAAACAGCATTTAGAAATGTACTGTAACAGCATGAAATCATACATATTACACAGTTCCTAGGCTTATTTTAAAGCCACCAAAACCTGTCCTATACATTCCAAAGAGCCATTTTCAGGATCAATTGGACTATAACCATAGCATGTTATGACATTCAATCAGCGCTTGACCCTTTATTCTCAGTTCTTTGAGACTGATGATGATTCACTCACACATCAGCCAAACACCCCCTCCCCCAAAACTCCACCCCCACAGAGTCTCAGGCTGTCTAGAAGACCACCTAATGCAGACCTATGGGGACCCTATGCCATTATCTGTTCTCCCTAACTAAGCCTCAATGTTCTTCTCATTAGTAAGCTCAGCAGACAAAAACATTTACGACCATGAATAACTGCGTCAACAAGCATCTTGTTGTGGTCACATCTACAACACACACACACACACACACACACACACAGACACAGATAAATATAGCTGGCCTAAAAACAGGGAAAATAAAACCCATGTAAAAATGCACTTAAGCATTTTAGTGTATGATTGACTCCTAACTGGAACATGGTCTCTACATTTTTTTAAAATCTTATATTGAAAATCAAATGCAGAGGTTTTACCAGCAATGACTCAAATAAAAGACTTTCTTTCATTTTTAGAGCATTGAAAACCACAAATTACATGAAACTCTCTATTTCATCATGTATAGGCGAGTGCTTTGATCTGTGGACTGGTCTGTCAAAAGAAGGAGAATTTCAGACTGCAATGATCATTCAGAGACAATTTTCAGAAACATGATGTGGTATGAGCTAAGCTATCAGGTCAATAGAATAAAACTACTACTAATAATAAAACTTTAAATTATTCATCAGACAATACACTCTGACTGTGTACTCAAAGAGTACACTTATTTTCAAAGAAAAAATATTTGTGTTACAATTTGTGGTTTTATGTGTTGAATAACAACCAGGTTTACCAGCTATTTTGATTGGTCAGTATATAATCTAAACTGAGGATAATTACTCTTGAGTCTTGGTTCATTTTTGCAGATACAGAAGCTGGATCATCATGGGAAAATGTCGTGTACTGCCCCCTTGTGTTGAATAAAGAGCACTGCAGGTAAAATGTCTCGTTTTCAACTGATCTCAACAAGATTTTTGAATTCATTATGTTTTTAGGATGCTGTGTAATTGCATGTGCATTATTTTTTTCTCCTTTTATAGTAGACATGGAAATAAATGTCCATTCACTGTTTTAACAAGCAAACAGTGACAAAGCACCAAGCTTGTTTTCCATAAACGCAGCACAACACCTGGCATGAATGCCTGAATAAACAGAAAACATGTTTTTGTTTTAAGGTCATGGGTCCACACTGTCAGAATCAAGCTCATTTGATTTGTCTTTTTCACGCCAACGCTTAAATAAAGACATAAAGCTGAAGCCCTCTTTAGTGCTTTTAAATGATATTGTTTGGCTATTTCTCTTCCCAGTACTAAACTTCAAGCTAGGCTCTGTCTCTTCTGTCTTCACCTCTGGCTCGGCTGATTGTGATTGTGATGAGTCAACAGATTGTGATTCCTCTTGAGAATTAAGTGGCTTGGTTTCTGAATCTTTAACAGTCTCTGTAGAGTTTTGTAGTGTGGCAATCATACCGCATTCCACAGATTTCCCTTTTCCAATAATACCTATAGAGGGGGCTGGAGATGAGTTTAGATTACTAGGCACGAATAGATCCTCTTGGCTGGTAGTTTCACAACTGGCCTCGGGAAGTGCGATTGTGTGCCGGCGATTGATAATCTGGCCGTTCTGCAGCAGAGAGCTGGATTTAGAGGTGTTTTCTTCTATGGTCAAAATCAGCAGCTGTCTTCTGTCTTCCTGGAAGAACGTCTGCCTGGGAGACAGGATCGGTGACAGGGTCTCACCGGATGAAATGCTACTTCGACTGGACTGGTATTGTAAAACTTTCCGTGACACCTCTCTCATATTTTGCACCTCTTTCTCTATCTGGACATCTTCCTCCTCCTCCACCGTGAATACAGAGACACGTTGATTGATTGAGGAATCAGCACTTTCCTGCACCGGGCTTGAGATTGTGATCTCTGGGTGCTTGGGCATCTCATCCTTATCAGTGCTGTCCTTGATCAAGGGGGATTGCATGGCCCTTTTGATCCAGCTGTCTCTCTTTACCTCTCTGTTGTCAGCGGGGCGTTTCTCTGGCATGGTGGTCTCAGTAAGATTTCCCCGTGTGGGTGAACCGGTGCCGGCTCTACGGTGGGATTGGCGACTGTTAAACCTCTGTAGGATGGACTCCAGTGCAACTCCTTCCACGTCTTTGTCTCGTGAGGAGCAGGTGGCGGTGGAACGTCGCTTGGCTGCAATCTGAGTACGCTCTCGCTGTCTGCGCTTCACCTCGACCATTTCTCGTTCAAGATTCTCCTATATGGAGAAGAGAAATGACACAGGCATAAGGTCATACTGTATCATTACGTCTGTGGAAGCCATTACTAAAAACATGAAATGTTTTTTTAAGTGACAATATCTAAACAATTTTAAAAAATTAATAATAATAATCTAAACAAAAAACATAAAAGTAATCTAAAATATAAATAACAAAAAACATTTATTATTCAAATATTTAATATAAATATTTACTATTTATTATTACCTAATGTAAAGACGTTATAGGTGCACATATGCACAAATATTCTTTTGTATGCAGCGTCATACAAAAGCTACACTACTGTTTAAAAGTTTGGGGTCTGTAAGATTTTTTTATGTTTTTGAAAGAAGTCTCTTTTATGCTCACCAAGACTGCATTTATTTGATCTAAAATAGAGTAAGACAGTAATATTATGAAAAATGATTACAATTAAAAAAAAAAAAATTATATGCTGATTTGGTGATCAAGAAACATTTCTCATTATTATTATCAATGTGGAAAATGTTGTGCTGCTTAATATTTTCGTGCAAACTGTGAAGAAATTCATTTTAACATTATAAAGTCTTTACTGTCACTTTTGATCAATTTAATGTGTCCTTGCTGAATAAAAGTATTAATTTCTAAATAATAACTTTCTTAATAAAAATCTCACTGACCCCAAAATTAGTGTAGTGTATATTGTATTTGCTTTTCATTTTATGGAACAACTTCTTTGTTTGAAATTTTTCAAAATCCTAAAACCTTTCCAGGTTTAAACTGTCGTATCTGCACATCATTTCAAACATTTTTGTCAAAAGTACTATTGATTTCTTTAGTCGTAAAAAAAAAAATGCTTCTTTAGAAGGTGCAATTACCTGAACTGCTCGTTTGAACTTCTCACAGAAAGAGTAGAAAATGGAGCAACACTCCTCTAGTTTGAATTGAGTGGGATCCTCACAGAAATACTCCGCCACCGAATCACACACAGCAGAA